GCTTTACAATGATGTATGCCCGTGTCTTTGTGTCCTATGATGTTCATTTCTGTCTGTTTGAGAATTCCTTTTGTAAAGTTTTGTGGTTATCTTTCAGGTTAAGTCGCACAAAGATATTGCACACTTCGAAACTGCTTATGTTGTTAAATTGCACAACATTGCAAGACTTGCTCCTCCTCAACCTGTGAGTTTTTTCGCTGGACTGGTTTGATAATTACTTTTATGAACCTGATTGTATAGGGAGTCATTATTCAGCAATCATTTAGTCACAAACACTGGATTTGTTGTTAGGTGTTCACGTTTGATCATCCAAATCGCTCAACTGACAAAAGCAATAACCGGTACACGAAGTTGCAGTTTGGAATAACAAGTGATACTGGCTCAGCCATGATTCACGGTATGTGGCGGCATAGTTTTTCTTTAGGTGATTAATATTCTTGAATGAAAAAAAGTGTCAGTGCGATGCATTTTGTTAACATGGCTAAATTCTACTTTGATTGTGCTGTTGTTGACTCATTGGACCTATTTTTCAGGTCACTAAAATTTCACTCTTTTCTACACCTTCAGGATTTGCTGGCTATTTTGATGCAACACTATACAGAGAAGTTCATCTTGGTATTGAACCATCAACATCAACACCAAACATGTTTAGCTGGTAATGCAGCCCACCCTATCCGTTTTCTTGTTAGGTTGCTGCTTGTCAACATTTGTACTTTGCTTTTTCTTTGCGATTGTTCGTTCTCGAAGAAAATATTCACATGATGGCTAAAACTTATACAGTAGTTGTATGGCTTACGTGCTGTTTATCGTTACCCTCAGGTTCCCAATATTTTTCCCGCTAAGGACACCAATTACGCTTAGTCCTGGCGCTTCTCTTGAAGTACATTTCTGGCGGTGTTGTCGTCCTACCAAGGTAATATTTTTTCTTATTTACAAGGAATTGAGGTCATTATCCAAGGGATAATACTATTTGAGCAAAAGAATAGTGTGCTTCTGCATCTCTTTTACATGTTTACGGTTTTTGATGAAAAATAAGCCTCTGAATGAGTTCATGGGGATCGGTGATGGTGATGCAGGTTTGGTACGAATGGTGCGTGGCTTCGCCCTCCAGTTCGCCTATTCACAACAGCAACGGACGTTCATACTGGGTTGGGCTCTAGTAGCCCTGCGATTTTATTCATTACATGCCAAGGCGGAAGCTAATACTGTTCCATTCGTAATACGAGTTCAGCGGTTGATCTCTCCTACAACTTTCAACATCTATGCAGATTGAAATTCATAGAGGTGTGAACTAGTTTTGGTGCCTGCACCGCCGATCGGGGCAAAAAGTTTCACCTGAGTTCCTTTGTACGCAGAAAATATTTGTAAGCCAATAGCAATGTATACCAACTGTTAACTGTTAAGATTGAACCTTTTGTTGTTTGTTTTCAGAAAATAGTTTGTTTGATTAGGAGAGAAAAACAGGATCTAAGCAGTGTTTATAGTTTATTTGACATGATTAAAACTTGTCTTTTCAAGAGAGATGAGTCTAGTTACCTACTTTTTGTTATTTTTAACTTGCACATTCCCTACTGTGTGTGTCGAACATTTTTTATTCTAGATTTTGAAATGAAAAGGAGAGAAAAGAGTAGTGAGAGTCTGAGAGAGGTTTTTATTTTTTATTTTTAAAATTAGAGATATATTAGAATGGCTTGTCAGTGAGGTTTGAAAAAAAAAAAAAAATTCAGTTTGCAAAATTACATTACCATCCATGTTTGTATGTTGTGACAGAAGATTAAATTGCCTGTTTTACTTTCTTTTAGTTAGTTGACGAATAAAATTTTATTAATTTCTACTGATTAATAAAACACACATTGTCAATCAAAATCTTATGAAATTACCAGTTTAAACCTTTAATTAAAGCAGAATAAGAATAAGAAATATAGGGTAGCAATGTAATTTCACACAATTAAATGTTACTGTTTGTTTTTAAAGTCTCACATACATGTAATTCTAACATATCTCTAATTAAAAAAATAAAAAAAATAAAATAAAAAACTTTTCACTCTTACATTCTCTATCACTCTCTTCCTCTCTTCCTCTCTTCTTCTATTTAAAAAACAAAAATAAAAAAATTTCTCACACTTGTGTGCCCATTTGCTAATAATTAATAATAATACTAAGCGAAGTTAGTAGGGTGTACCCTTTTAATACGGCAAGATAGCCTTTACCATATTAATAATCCTAAAACCTCCTTTTTTATTTTTTTTATTTTTTATTTTTTAAACGAGATAACTGGTGGCAAGTTACGGCTATTTATCCTTTCCGGGGCCTAGGAAGACTTACTAAGGCATTTCAACCTCTTCCCACAAGTCTAGCTTCCACATTAACATCGAATATCGAACACGAGACCTCAAGTCTTTCGACAGCATTCTGACACTAAAGAATTATATATTCTGACACTAAAGTGGGCGTGATTTGGAAGGAAGGGGCCAACAGGCGAGGCCAAAGTCTCTGTAGAAATACATATTCAGAGAAAGAGTACAGCAAACACAGTAGAAATATTGATGGAAGTCTCAAGTGCTTCATTGCACATAATCAGGTATAAATATACAAGTTTACAGAGAGTCCCCAAGGGATTGTATAACTGAATAACTCCCAATACAAGATCTCCTTGATCGATGGCAGAATATACACTTATTTGTATGCCTCCAATTGTAAACAGGAAAAACCCCATAACGAATTCAAGTTTGGTTGCAATTGTGGGTGTTGGAAGATATTTTAGGGGTGAAAGAAAAGCCTCCAGACAATTAGACACGACAATTAACTATATTCTCAAGGTATGGTCCACATTTTCATCATAAATTGACAACTTAAGATTAAAAAGAATCATGATATCGCCAATATTGTCAATATCTCTTAAATAACTACGATGATATGGTGTCAAACAATCCACAACTTAAAATTAAAAAGACAAAAATATCTTCAACATTCAGACCATGAAGATAATCAAAATTACCACGATATGTGTTTCATATATCGATAAATTTACTCATTCAAATGCTTATGCTCAACTATACTTTTTGAAATTAAGTTGAAAATCATAGTGCATGGAACAAACGAATGGACAACAAAGTGAATTGTCAATTTAGTCCCTCAATTATCACTTAAGTAAAAACTAGGTTCTTAAACTATTTTTTTCAGAAAAAATAGTTCTTGAATTATAAAAATCTACCAATTACATTCTTAATATTAGATTCGAAGCTACTATATTCAATTTTTTGTCAATTTAAGTCATGTTACTTGCATGTAATACACATTAGAGGGCATGTTGGTATTTTTTCATAAAAAATAATGTATGTAGTCAACTTTGGAGGGTAAGTTAGACGTTAGATTCGCAACCTATATGAAATGTTAAGGGCTTATAGGTGAGAAAAATACCGGTATTACACTCTAAAGTGTGTCAAGTGACTTAAGTTGACAAAAAATTGGATAAAATAGCTTTGAATATAATAGTAGGGATGAAATTAACAATTTTTAATGAATCTATGGACTTATTTTACAACAGAAATAATTTAGAGACTCAATTTTCACTGCAGTGACAATTTAGGAACTAAATTAGCACTTCACCCAGACGAACAATACTACAAAATACAAAGATAGCTAAAGTAACTGAAAAGTAAATTAGTCATGATGGGTAAATAACAGAAAATAAAATTGTGAAGACTTGTTATTTTACAAGTTTCAAAACAACCTATCTATAGGAAAACTAAAGCAAATCCTAGCAAGAAAATTAAAACTTACGGGTAAGGAAATTCTTGGTTCACACAATAAAACTAATAATAAAAATAAGGAGAATTCTTTAAAATATTATATGAACTTATATTTATTTTTTAATTTGTTATATAAATTAAAATTTTAAGCGATTTGTCATATCAAATTTGAAAATTATTAATTAGTTATTTCACCCTAACTTCATTAAGTTTTCCACCTAAAGTAAGTCATGTGCTTGCACATAGCTTATTTTCAAGGTTATCTCCTACATTTCAACTCCCTACTCCAATCCTCTTCAAGATTATTTCGAACGTTCAGCAAAATGACCAATTCATTGCCCATCCCTAGTGTACGTATATCTTTGTATAAAGATAATAGATAAACAAAATATATAAACTTGTGAAAAATGAGATCAAAAGTTCAAAATAACGTTATTTTGAATGGAAAACTTACCGGAGTTGGGATGCGATGACAAATTAATGATTTTAGAAAATTCATATGACAAATTGCTTAAAATTTTAGTTCATATGGCAAATTAAAAAAAAAAAAAAATATATATATATATATATAAGTTCATATGACATTTTAAAAATTCTCTTAAAAAAAGAAAAAACTAATTTCCAACAACATATGTGTATTACTTTTATATCTCATAAATTTATTACCAAAGTTCTACATGTAGTAAGTTTTACAAAGTTTTTGGCGATATTGATATTTCCACTGATATTGTAATATATGTGTGTCGACGTTCCCTAGAATTATCATTATTTTCATCCTTGACCGCGGCACATGATAGTTAATTAACAATCGAAACTCTTGGTGAAATATTAAACAGAGACCGCGGCACATGATCGTGCGGGTAGGAATTAAAAGGAGAACGAAATGGAGTTTCAAAGACAAAATGATGATGAAAATTGAGTTTTAGAGGATAAAATGGTGCAAATTTTGTCCAAGAAATAAATGGAGAATGAAATGGAGTTTCAGAGAGCATGGCAAAAATAACCCTTTTTGTCACTTAATACTACGGTCTAGTAATTGTCACTTAATACTACAATCTAGTGATATTTATCTTCATTATAACTGAGAGTTTTTAGATTTTACTCTCACCAAGTGCCAATTGTTGGGCCCGTCTATAGCCCGACTAACTGGGCTGAGGTGGAGAGAGTTTTTGGGGTTTTAGGGGACTGAATTGCCCAATTGCTTGGAGGTGGACTTGCTCTTAAAATATTTATCTGGCCCTCCGCTACGTGGTACGGATAGAGAGAGAGAGGGCGGTAACCAAACCAGGTTTACGTTTGTTTCCCCCCAAATATCAATCGCTTGCAATTCTTCGTTCGCCAAACACCTTCTTCTTCTTCTATTTCTGTTTCTGCTCGATTTAGATCCGTTAAATTTCGAATTCTAGGGTTCCCAGAGGGGAGATGTACAACGGAATAGGGTTACAGACTCCAAGGGGGTCTGGGACCAATGGCTACATCCAGACCAACAAGTTCTTCATCAAATCGAGGACTGGGAAGGTCGCCGACTCCTCCCACGGTTTCGACGATGACCAGGGCACCGGCGGCGTCACCAAGAAGCCCAACAGAGACATCCTCGAGCACGATCGCAAGCGCCATATTGAGCTCAAACTCGTCGTGCTCGAAGATAAGCTCATCGATCAGGGTTTTACCGACGCTGAAATCGCCGAGAAGCTTGACGAGGCTCGGATGACTCTCGAAGCCGCGGCGGCTTCGGAGGAGCTTGGCGGACCCGGCGCTATTGTTGTCTCCGATAAGAAGTAAGTTTGCACGCTCGTTTTTGTTGTTGAAAGCTTCAGAAAAATATTGCTTTTTTGAATGATATTGTTAATGTCTTGTATTTCTAATTTATGTCGTATCTTATGGATTTCGAATGCGGTTTTGCCAAGTAAGAATGTGATTAAAAGTTGATTAGCATTAGCAGTAATTTTTGTTACTTAAATAGGGTTTCAGATACGCAGACCCACCAAATTGCTGCTAGGAAGGAGAAGCAAATGGAAACATTAAGAGCTGCTCTCGGGCTAGCTGTGCCCGAATCAGCTGACAAGAATACTGATGATATTAAAGATGGACTGAAAAGTAGTCGAAAGAATGGTCCAGAAGACGATGACAAGTTTCAAGAGAGAAGTGAGCATGCATTTCTGGACAGGGACTATGGGCGGAAGAAACATGGGGAGGAAAAGCAGAAAGATGAGAAAGATGATAAGAAAAAGAGAGTTAAAGAATCTAAGCGGAGCAAAAAGGAAGAAAGTAGGAAGAGAAGGCATAAGTATGATTCTTCTGATACCGAAAGCAGTGGCAGTCCTCCTCCCAAGGTTGATAAAAAGAAGCATCGTGGAAGTAGCAGCAGTGATGAAGATGATTCGGAAGTTGAACTTGACAAGAAGCAAAAGGTTGCAAAGAAGAATGAGAAAAGAAGTAAGAACTCCGATGATTATGATTCTGCGTTGGGTGATGATGATGCTAGAAGGGATGGTGCAAGAAAGAAAGTTGAGAAATTCAAAAAGCCTCAAAGGAGGCATGTTTTAGATGAAGATGATTCTGAAGCTGATTTGGGAAAGAGGCAGAAGGTTGCAAAGAAGAATGAGAAAAGAAGAAATAAGAACTCCGATGATTCTGATTCTGCTTCCAGTGACGATGATGCCAGGAGCGACGGTGCAAGAAAGAAAGTTGAGAAATTCAAAAAACCTCAATGGAGGCATGATTCAGATGAAGATGATTTTGATGCTGATGTTGGCAGGAGGCACAAGGTTGTTAAGAAACATAGTCGGAGCAGAAAGGATGACACTGATGATTCTGATTCTGATTCTGCTACCAGTGATGATGATGCTAGGAGGGACAGTTCGAGAAAGCTAGTTGAGAAATTCAAAAAAACTCAAAGGAGGCATGACTCAGATGAAGATGATTCTGAAGCTGATGATGGTAAAAAGCAGAAGGTTGAAAAGAAGCATAGTAAAAGTAGCAAGGATGAGGCGGATGATTCTGATTCTACTAGCAGTGATGATGGTGCTGAGGACAGATCCAAAAAGGAATTAGAGAAATCCAAACACCCTCGTAGGAGGCATGATTCAGATGAAGATTCTGATCGTGAAGAGAAACGGTTAAGATCTAATGCAGTTGAAAGTAATGAAAGAAGTCGTCCAATTGATGATGACAGGTATCGTCCGAGCAGGGATGATCAGTATTCAGGATTGGTAAGGCCTAGAGGAGGGCATGATGACGTGACTGTAGAACGCGAGGACAAAATTTACAGCAAAGATATTGAACCACAACGTGGTAGTAGAACAGTTACTCTGGGTTATGAAAGAGGAGTTAAAACCCACACCATGGATGATCAGGAACACAGAGGGAGAAAGCATGGAAGGTATGAAGAGGATGATGTAGGGCGTGGAAGGCAGAGCAAGGATGAAGAGCACAGAGGAAGGAAGCATGGAAGAGATGAGGAGGAAAATGAGAACAGAAAAGTGGGGGATAACAAAGAGGAGCTTGGAAATAGAAAACCTGGGAAAATGGAGGAAGAACGGGGAAATAAGGGTGTGGATAGAGATATGGATTACAAGAGGGCAAAATATGATGATTCTAGATCAAATGAGAGGAGGCGCGAAAGTGAAAAACGCAATGGAAGAGATGAAGAGGATCGTGGAGGGCGTGGAAGGTACGACAAGGATGAAGAGTATAAAGGAAGGAAGCATGAAAGAGATGAAGAGGAAAATGAGTACAGAAAGGTGGAGGATAAAAAAGAGGAGCTTGGAAATAGAAAACCTGGAAAAATGGAGGAAGAACGGGGAAATAAGGATATGGATTGCAGGAGAGCAAAGTATGATGACTCTAGATCAAATGAGAGGAGGCGTGGAAGTGAAAAGCATAATGAAGATGATAAAAACTACAGAAAGCATGGGGAGGATTTTGAAGAGGAGCGTGGGAGTAGAAGGCACGGAAAAGTAGATGAAGAAAGAGGAAGTCAGGATACTGAAAGAGATAGACAGCTTGATTACAAGAGAGCAATATATGATGATTCTAGATCAAGCGAGAGGAGGAGATACAAAAATGAGAGACATAATGATGGTCGTTCCAGGCATCAAGGCTGATATTGTGGTAAGTTATATACTATCCTCCATTGAACATGCACTGTTTACTATAAACCCAATACATTTAGCTGTCATTATCTGGAAAACAACCTGGAAAGCTATTTGTTTTGTTACTGAATAACCGACTTTGTCATAGATTGCCATGCTTTTATCTCCATGTTTCTACTGTTGTGAATAAGCTTTTTGCAAAGCAGAAAAAAATCCTGTAAAGAGAGTAGTAAACCTATCTGTTGAAACGAACTGGTTTATAGCTTTATATGCAAGAAAGTGTGGCTTTATGTTTATTATGACAACAGCAGTGGGGCTTGTAGTGTCCAAATGCTCTTTCTTTCAAGTCAATTTTGACTCTTGCAACTCATCCCCTACCCATGGTCTTCCAAATTAAGTGTTTGAACTATAAAATATAGATTTTCTAATGTCGGTAGTTCTAGTCCTAACGTTAATAATGTGATAGGTTGATGTCGTGTCAAGGCCTGTCAAAGCTTGCTAAGCGTAATGGAGTCATCGACCACGGGGAGCTAACTGGTCATCGAGATGGAATCTCAGTTTGGTGAGTGTACTGTATCTTTGAGTTGTGTTTTTGGTGGATCTGTCGGAAGATCACGCGACTTATCCTTAGCACGGTTTTGAAACGCAGTTTATGTTATGCGGTGATGTTTTAATATTTATGTTGGCCATCAGATCCAGCCCCGGAATGGTGTGATTTTATTTTGATACTTTCGCATAGTCTTATCCTTGCCTCGTTAGTAGCAGGATGCAACGGACTACTTTGAATCTATTATTTGTAAGAAAATGAATTCGGGTGTTGGTGGTGTCACAGAGGTTCTATCCACCCTAAAACCAATTGGCGATGGGTGGTGTCACACAGGTTCTATCCATCCTAAAACCAATTGGCGATGGGGAGGGTGACTCAACTCTGATAAAACCTTGTAATAAGGTTTGTTACACGCACGAAGTGGTAAAATTTCCATCCGTCCCGACCGTCTACAACCGAGTAGTAAAAGTTCTAAATCAACACGTATACAAACTTTAACAGTTCTACATCAAAAACGTATACAACAGGTACTATACCCGCTCTACGACTCTCCGAATGAGGATCCTCTTCGGATCCTTTTTGTGAGGATCCCGAGGAAATTTCAATCACGTTTGTTTATTGTACATCGTGTGGTTAGAAATTATTGCAATTTTTTTTATTTAAAATTGAATATAAACAACACTTGACGAAAACTGACCGTACAATGTACAATAAACGAACGTGATTAAAGGAATTCTAGAATCCTCACAAAAAGGATCCGAAGAGGATCCTCATTCCGACTCTCCCTCCTTTTGTTATTCTTTAATTTAACGGGACAACAAACTTTTCTTCAAAAGATTTAACCTCACGTTCATATAATTTAAACTGAGAAAATCTCCTTGGAAAAAATGGAGATTTCTTCACTAACTCCCTGAGAAATTGTTCATGTAAATGCAAGGAATCGATGAACTATCAAGGCCGTAAGATATTTCATATTTGTTGAATATTACATTTCCTAACAACAATTATATGTCTAATCTAAGCTCCCACTTAAATAAAATGTGAATCTGAAAAATTGGGAAAACGCCAGACACGGGTACATATTTCTGTAGAAATCTCCGAGTTCTAGGGCTTCAAACTTAATTTATCAAATGATTAAAGCTTCTGAATCACCCTAAGCTTGGCACTTCTAGCTCGGCTGTTGAGACTCTCTTCCGTTTCAGATGGTGTAATTGGTCTCTTAGTGAGAATTATTCCCCTCAAGCCCTGTACCGTTTGTTTGATCCATGCTTCGTTTTCATCAATGTCGCTCATGATCTTTCTCAAATCTTTCTTCCCCGCTGCTTCTTCAATCATGTCAACGTCAACATCTCTGTCTTTGACGTTGATGATGTCTAGAAACGTTTGTTTCACAATTCTGTCCTCCAAACTGTGGAAAGAGATGACTGCCAACCTACCACCCGGTGCAAGGCAGTCAAAAGAAGCATAAAGAGAATCCTCCAGAGTCTTCAGTTCATCGTTCACAGGCTATCCTCAGAGCTTGAAACACCCTTGTTGCTGTTTTAATCCAACCTTGCCGTCCTTCTGTTGCAATTGAATTCAACCTTAGTAATTAAACTTTTTTGGCATATCCATGAGCGCAACAATCAATGGTAATACGGTTCTGATAGACGTATACTATGCAAAGCCAAAGTACAAGCACAATAGAACAAAAAGAGGATGCCTACCTCGACTCAGCGGAGTTGCACTTTTTATAAGATCTACTAAATCGCCAGTGGTATGCAATCCACCCTGTGATCGAGCTCTAACAATTCTATTTTGAAGAGAGAACCAGTTGCTTTCTTCCCCATAGTCTCGCAGGATGCGGCCTACCTCATTATCTGGCCAAGAGTTCAAAATGTCTTCAGCTTTCAGACTTGCCTGTCATAGCCCTACTCCAATCAATTAAATGAAACAAACATTTACAATGATGATGCAGCCACAAAAAAAACCATGAAATCATCCACGTCATATTTCCTTGAAAACTTTCATCCCCCTACAAACTATCACCTAGAACTTCAATGAATCAAAAGCAGTGCTGGCAGAGAACATTAATTTGGAAAAGGGAATTGATAACTGAGCTTTAGTTGGAACACAGGAATCATGGGTGTATATAACGAGGGTAACATAACTGGGGCAATTCATATCTGTACGACCCTGCATGACCCCCATCCTAAACATGTATAGCATTCCAAACCCAAACTGTGCCCTAATTGAACCCGCATTACGTTGATGGCATAACCAATAACACACCCTGCTGGAAGCACGTATATGTAAATACGGTCACGACACCAATTTGCCACATGTTGCACACATGTGGCGTAACTATAAGCTACCCCTTGGTATGCCGTTCATACACATGATAAAAAAGGCATTATAATAAGCATCACATTTGAGCTATCACATCAGCAACCCTCAAACTGGTCTTTGGACCTGGGAACACATGTACGAAGAAAATGGCATCAAAGCCTCCCCAATTAGTCTTAAGAATGTTTAACTATTACCATGAAAATTGCAAGAAACCGATTGACTCAATAAGATCGCCCACAGTTCATAACAACATTCTACCAGCTCAAAGATTCGAAACCACAAATGCACTCTTAAAGTTCGTAAATATATAATTAGAACATAAAAACGCAACTTTTTCCTAGTATCCATTTCCCTCAACTAAATTAGATACAAAAATGCCAGAACAACTCTTACCTGAGGATCCATCCTCATGTCAAGAGGTCCATTAGCAAGCACACTGAACCCTCTTTGAGGATCATTTACTTGCATCGACGACATTCCCAAATCCATCAGTATCCCATCAATCCCTGTTTCAACTAGTGTCTCAGCCACATCACAAAGCAGAGACTTCACATATCTGAAATTCTCCAAAAAGGTGTAAGCTTTGAGGGACGAAGGATTCGGGTCATGCAAAACAGAGTTGATCCGAGCTCGAGCCTTCTCAAGCGCCACAGGATCGACATCAAGCCCAACATACACTTCCATTTCCGGATGCCCTTCAATTATCTGCCAGTAATCAACAATTAACCCAAAACCCAGCTCGTAATTACATCAAAGTAAATGCTTAAAATGCTTTCTGACAGCCAAAAGAGCTTCAGACTGCGTTTGGCAGACAAACTTAGAAGTGCTTCTAGCTCGTCGAAGCAATTTTTTAAGAAGCACTTCTTCATGAATCACTAGCAAATGCTTCTCCAAAAAGCACTCTGATTGGATTTCTCATAAAAGTTTCAACTTGTTCATAATAGCACTTCAATCAAAAGCAAAAGTGCTTTCTGTGGAAGAATTCCAAACAGGCTATAAGAACTTAAGAAGGTGGAAGAGTGATTACTGACCGCAGAGGAATGCCCGGCAGCTCCGACAGTGCAGTCGACGAAGTACCGGAGTTGTTTGGACGCCGGGAAAACATCCAGAACTTCGCCGAGCATGGCCGGAATGTGGGTACCGGTACCTCCATAACGCTTAATTGTTTCCAAATGGAATTCCCTATCGGAACGCGTTCTCCTCTTCTCCTTTACCACCACTCTCTGCCTCAGCTCCTGCTTCTCCTTCCTCTTCTTGCTGGCGGCGCTGCAGTTGCTTCTGGCGCTGCGTGCGGTGGTTGTGAGGGTTCTCAGGCGGAATGATAGTGAGGCGAAAGAGAAGAGCTTTGAGGTTGATGACGATAGTGCTGATGCTATTGCCATTTCCTTTTCCTATACAAATTGTGACCACATTTATGCGGTTTTAATTTTAATTTTGTAGCCCTAAATTGGGATTGGGATGCATGCTGGATTGGCCCAAAACCGAATTCCTAAAACCTCGATTTGATGTAAAATTCAATTTTGGGGTTGTAATATTCATTTTTTACATGTTAGGTTTGGGAATTTGAGATGGAGGAGGATCCTCTTCCTTTTATAATCTCTGTCACTTTTGCTCTCTTTCTATTTGAACAGTTACAATTTAATCACGTCAACATCTTATATTGATTTTTTTTATAAAGACGATAAAACAAAAAGCAATATATGAAAGAAGGGAGAGAAAACGATGTAAATAGGAAATGAGAGAATTCTATTCCATTTGGAGGATTACGAGGCTTGTGCTGTAGATTTTGGTGCTTTGAAACAGAAATTTTTTGTTGCAACTAAATTATAGTTTCGGTGGTATCACATTATCAATTAGTTGACGAAACCCGTCCAATACGAGTGCTTAGTGTTTCGGTGGCAATAGTTTTATATATGACCTTTTATTAGTGATCCAGGATACTCAGGTGGTGGAGAATTTTAAAAAGAATTCCCAAGAGCTGTGGTTTACTTTCATTACCAGAAATTCAAAGGATTGTTGGAATCCTCGGTCTAATCCACCTGCATAGCATTAGAATAACACTAAACCAAGGAAAGGGTTGAAAACTTAATGCTTTTGCTGATAGAATTTGTTGAAACATCACACTTTGAATAGGTCTAACTTAAGCTGCTATGTCAACTGTCAAACTAAACAGCCACAAGCACTTGTGACTTGAGAGAGAGAGGAGAGAGAGAGAGAGAGAGAGTGAGACAGTGTGAGAGATGGCGGCCTAGCTGCTATGTGTTTGTTTTGACTTGTAGCCACATTAGGTAGTATAACTCATCCATCCTTTATCTATTACCATGCTAAATCAAATGTCAAAAATTTCGATAAAACTATCAGATTTGAATTAGTTAATGTTAATATCAAAATAAAGAGATCATCTTTTTACTTCTTTATGAAAAAATACTTTTTAAATTACGTAAAAATTATCAGATTGAATTAGTTAATGTTAATATCAAAATAAAGAGATCATCTTTTTACTTCTTTATGAAAAAATACTTTTTAAATTACGTAAAAATTATCAGAATTGAATTAGTTAATGTTAATATCAAAATAAAGAGATCATCTTTTTACTTCTTTATGAAAAGTACTTTTTAAATTACGTAATTTGAGTGTTCCGACACAAGTTTTTCAAAATCACATACAAATTAATTGATCAATAATATGAGGATGGATGGATGGATGGAAATATGTGGTGTGGTTGTTGGCATGTTAGGCTGTCTGCTGCTCCGCTCATAATCCATTTTTTCTTCTTTTGACTTGACTACTTTACTTAAATATATATTAACTTATTCACACCATTCTTTCCCTTTTTATATAATAATCCCTCAT